TTCAACGAAAGAGAAAAAGTTGATAAGAAAAATTCTATCAACTTTCCTGTGATATTGTATGATGAATTTCCCTCTTGAATTGAGTTGCACCTTTTCTCGGCAAAATGATAAATGAACAGTTTCTCCTGACTTTTCCTTTTCGCCATTCTGATTGGTGAACATTTTTCTCCTTCCATCAACTTTCATCTTTTACCTGACAATATCATTTTCACTCAACAATGTGAAACAATTTTTCAAAAATAAACCTTATTCTCTATTCACACAGAATTGAATGTAACCTTGTTATCAGCTTATTCTGTTTATCATGTAAAATAATGTCAATAATCTTGTTTCACTCTTTTCCCTTCAACATCTTCTGTACAGAATAAATGAAATTTTCATCAACTTCTTCTTCCATTGTCTTGGTGAATATATAATGTGCAAATGCTGATTCAAAAACTGATCACATTTAAACGAAATAAGAAATTCCAGGGAAGCACAATTGGTGATCACCATGATAATGGATATTAACAGAAAGTTAATCTGCTGAACAATAATCTTCATCTTCCTTTTCTAGCTTCTTCTCTTTTCATTTTCCATATCGACTGTAATCAATTCCTGGAAGCAAATCTCTTGATCAATTTCTTATTACCAATTATCTCGACTTGATTTGTTGATATGATGAATGTATGGGTCAACCATGAATAGACCAGATAACATGATAACAATAATTATTATCAAACAATACCTTTGAGAATGATTAAACTCCATGCTGGACAATAAGATAAGAATGCTGCTCAATAGGAAATTGAATTGTAAAGTTTCATCTCTTTTTTGCCCTCATTTTATTGAAAGACGATATAATTGTTGAGACGAAAAGTTGAAGATTGAAAAGACTGGGAAGGAAAAGGGATGAAGCTTGGATACAAAATACAACTTTGAACCAAGTAGGAAATATTAGACTGGAAAGACATTGAATGTTATCATCAATTGTGAGATGCAATGGTGAAATTTATTTCCTCTTGAGATTGTTTATTTTGGGCTGGATATTAAGAAAAATAAAAGGTAAAGAAAAAAAGGTTGGATTGAATGAGAAAAGCGTCAAGATGATGATCATGTTGATCATGATGGAAAAGTTTGATGTGATGAAAAAAAACAAAGAGTGGGTAGAGTAAAATTGAGAGGTTAAAATTTGAGGAAAGTAACAAACACTGATTTACTATTTCCAAGTAAATATTTATATCTAATGTTGTAGAGGGCTGACTGGGAGTAAAAAAATATTTTATCAAATAACATAAAGATAAGTTTGCAACAAATTCTTTATCTCAACAACTGAAATAAAAATAAAGGCATAAAAAGTAATAAAAAAGGCAAATCATTTCTACTTCTTCTTGAGATGGAAATGTATATTTTCATTTATCATATTATTGAATACATTTAATCCAACAATCTGACTAGGCATAGAAATGGAAATATTAGTGGCTAGAAAAAGTTCTGTTGTTTTTCTACCAGTGACTTTTCAATAAGTGCATGCAGACCATTTTTGTCTCGATCAGAGTTGATTAACTATTCATCAGCTAATCAATATGTACTAGATAAAGAAGAAATTTTAAAGTCCCGCAAACTTATTGATACTAGTATAATATGGCTTTTTGCGCTGTGGCTGGACTACGGACTACTGACTGAACTGGATCAGCGAAAAATACAAGTCAGACCAAAGACAGTTCCAAAATAGCAGCCAAGAAGGACACATTCATTTGATAAAAGCAGCCTTACTAATTTTGAAAATTTTACCATCAAGATGGGATTTTTGGTTTAAAAATGAGCATAAATGTTCAAATTCACGTTCTGATTCAAAGATAAAAATCGGCACTATTTTTGTTATCATAAGCTTGAGAAATGCTTAATTTTAGGATTAATTTTGATTGGGTTTTGATAGGGATGAATTTCAAAAGATGGCAGCTCATTCATTACTATTCATTTCAGCATCTTAAGACAGTTCATTAATAGGAAATAATCTATCAGTAATAATAGCTGCCAGTAATGAACAAATCAAAAATTGCATAAATCAACGGACAATTGAACCTGACTGTCAAAATAGGTATTTTCCAATCTTTTGATAATGTAGATAATAAACGATAAAAAGTATAATATTAGGTAGCCTAGAAAGTTCGTTCGTTTTTTTAACGCTGAATACAAACGATAATTTTTTGGTGAAAAATATGCAGTTTGGTGTTTTTTGGTTATTTAGGTTGAGAGTTTATTGTTGGACTAAGAATGTATGCAAAACTTTCTTTTGAGCAAAGAGTTTGGTTAAAAACTGGTGCCTCAACTGTACTAAAAGAGATCAAATGACAAATTTTCAGATCAATTTCATCAATGATTGTCAACCCAAAAAATTTTTATTCAGAATTTGCGTCTTTAAATGTGGATTGAATTATCGTACACGTTGCAAATAAATTTGCGATCAGTATTGATACGGACTAAACTTATATTCTTAGAGGGTAGAAATAGTCAAACTGACATTAAAGAGCTTTTCTTATCGTTTTATCAAATAAACAATAACAGTTATTATGATGATTAAGAAAATCCAGTGTTATTCAAACGTGTACACTTATATAATTGAAATAGATAAAATATAAAATAACAGTGATTTTAATGCAAAGAGCTCGTTTTCTATTAGAAATATTTACAGTTTTGTTTTTCGGAACGTGGAACTCCGAAAATTTTGCATCGAAATGAAAACATTTCATGGATTAGTTTATATATTTTTCACGCTTATTCATTCGAGTCAAATTCATCTGAGCATAAAGTATAAGTTTTTAAAAAATTACTATTGTTATCGTGAATATTTACATGCATATTATACTACTGTATCAGACTGTTACCTAAATTTTTGAGAGGCATTTTTTGGTCTTAATGTTTTTGTAGTTGATTTGACATAAAGTACAAATAAGTCCAACTATTTTACAGCTAAGGACAATACTAAAATTGTTGGAAGTGCTTTGCCGAGTTCATATTCAAATTATGCCATTTTTCAGAATCAAAAGGGATTCGGTGAACCTGATTGTAGTCCTTTTAATTTAGTATCCAATATGATAGAGCATAGCATAGTCTAGTCCTCGGTAATTTTTAAATAACATTAAAATATTAGTTATAAACATACTTTTTTCTTCTTTTTCAGGTTAAGTTACTGCAAACTTCTGAAAATACTTCAAGTAGAATAATACAGCCATGCTGCAATGGAAAAAAAAGTTATAAAGGTTGGTTCACAATAGCTGGAGTGTATGTTAAACGACTAAGAGTGTGATATATGAGTGCCATTGATTTAGGGTGAGTAAATTCATAAATTTATATACATTGAATCACGCGTTTGTATATGTTCTTTTACTATTGAATTCTGAAAATTTTAGTGGCTTTTAGTGGCTTCACACAACCACTCCAAGGTGCTTTCGATGTGATTATGGTATTTTATATGGATGCGACCAAGCATTTCCAAGCACAACCAAGCAACCTACAGTATTGTTTATTGAACCATCAAAACAGTTTGTCGAAATCTGTCTACCTTGCAATTTATCTAAATACCCTTTCAAAACCTTTTTAAACAAAGCTTCGTTGTAAATTGCCCAAAGATGTCGCAGCTAAGCACGATACTGAAGCCGTTGGAAATGCTCTGGCGAGTTTATATTCAAATTATGCAATTTTTTAGGATTAAAATCGTCCAATATTCATCTGATTGGCCATTCATTAGGAGCCCACATTGAGGGCTTTGCCGGTGATGCGCTAAAACGAAAAGGACGTCTAATTTGGCGAATCACTGAGCTCGATCCAGCTGGACCTCTATTTACCGGTATATTCGATGTTGAACCATGATGGACCGATTTGATGCGGATTATGTTGAAACGGTGCACACAGATATCGGAGATTTCATTCAAAATGGTAAGATTTTATTAATTTTTATTATTTTCTTGCAGTTCATTAGAAAATTTCTGCCCAATTACTAGGTTATAAGTTTGCAAAACCTTTAGGGGATATTGAATTTTGCATCAATGGAGGATTTGCGCAACCTGATTGTAGTCTCTGGAACTTGCCAAAAAATATTTGGCAATATGGATGGGTTGGCGGTAATTTCTACTTACACAAAATTGCAAATAGGGTTTTAAAGTAAATTTTCTGTTTCTGCAGGTTTCACAAATACATATGCATGTAAAAACATGTTTGCATATGTTCTTATGCTTGAGGATACCGAAGATTTTAGTGAAAACTGTCAGCTTGTTGGCAATCAATGCACCAATTACATAGCTTATCGAAAAGGAAAATGCAATGAAAATTATAAATCTCAAAGCATCTTTTACTCGCTGTCACTTTTCAGTTAATCCCCAGTCAACAGTTTTTAGTCTTTGTTTTGACAATAGGTCGCTGGTTGATTTAAATTGTGGGTAACTGAAAGATCTACAATTGTGTTATTTTTCTGTGTGTGATCTACTTTCGTTTTGTTTAAATACGAATACTATCGAAAAATTGAACCCATTAAACCATTTTGATTCGAGATGGCTGATTTCAATGAATCTGTTAAAATACCTGAAGTTGAGTCTGGTGATAAATTGACGATCATAAATAGATCAAAAACTTACCCTGTCTCCAAAAAGTTCATTTGTTCATCCATACCATACTTCGAGAAAAGGTTTTGCTGTGACTTGTTGAAAAGCAAAGAAAACACAGCTAAATTGGATCTTGATGAAAAAAGTTTTGATTTCGTATTTTGGTTATAAACTTACTTTTTTCTTCTTTTTCAGGTTAAGTTACTGCCGTTGGAAATGCTCTGGCGAGTTTATATTCAAATTATGCAATTTTTTAGGATTAAGTTCGTCCAATATTCATCTGATTGGCCATTCATTAGGAGCCCACATTGAGGGCTTTGCCGGTGATGCGCTAAAACGAAAAGGACGTCTAATTTGGCGAATCACTGAGCTCGATCCAGCTGGACCTCTATTTACCGGTATATTCGATGTTGAACCATGATGGACCGATTTGATGCGGATTATGTTGAAACGGTGCACACAGATATCGGAGATTTCATTCAAAATGGTAAGATTTTATTAATTTTTATTATTTTCTTGCAGTTCATTAGAAAATTTCTGCCCAATTACTAGGTTATAAGTTTGCAAAACCTTTAGGGGATATTGAATTTTGCATCAATGGAGGATTTGCGCAACCTGATTGTAGTCTCTGGAACTTGCCAAAAAATATTTGGCAATATGGATGGGTTGGCGGTAATTTCTACTTACACAAAATTGCAAATAGGGTTTTAAAGTAAATTTTCTGTTTCTGCAGGTTTCACAAATACATATGCATGTAAAAACATGTTTGCATATGTTCTTATGCTTGAGGATACCGAAGATTTTAGTGAAAACTGTCAGCTTGTTGGCAATCAATGCACCAATTACATAGCTTATCGAAAAGGAAAATGCGCTGATTGCGGAAATGATGGCAAAGCATGTGCTGTTATTTCGTTATTTGGCGAAAATGACCGGAACTCAGGCCAAGGATACCTGAAACCTCAATCAGGTTTACAACCAAAAAAAGTTTATCTAAATACCCTTTCAAAACCTCCGTATTGTGGTAAGTTTTCTATTTTATCACTACACGTTTGTGGAATTTCAAGAGAGTCTTTTTTTCAGCCCACAAATATGCAATTGAAATTGAATTAGCCGAAGGTTCAGAGCAACCGGGAGGAAAATTTGAATCGACTCTCGAAGGTAAATACTTCGATTCAGCGAGAGTGTTTGTAATCAATAAAGACTTTTTATTCGAAAAGGGTGATAGAAAGTTTTCCTGCTTGGTGCAACACGATAAAAATTTAATAAGAGTATCAGTAATAAGAGCAACTATAAGATTGTATCATGACATTTGGGACTTGGCTGTTCGGTCTATCAAAAATCATCATAAATCGTCTGAATATTAAATATTTGAGTAATATTGACAAGAGGTAAGCTCATGAATCTGATTAAATCAAAGCGCACTAATACTTACCCTATACCATTACCCTAATGCCACACTTACCCATACAGCATTCGCAATGCATGTGCGCAGAGGAATCGGAAACGAATGGATTAATAAACTTTGTTTATTGTACTTATGAACGAGCAAGTCTTCACCCACCTGAATCAAGGGCTATCAACCATTATAAGAATTTAATTCCCAAATATGGACAAACATCAATGCACTATACTTATGGCTATGGCAGTCAGTATCAGTGGTATAACAGTAGCTAAGACTCCTCAAAAATATGTAGCCATCAATAAAAGAACAAGATTGGTCAACCTTTTGCTTTAGTTCGCAAAATAAATATTTTCGCGAAACACCGTAATAACATTTTTTTCTTCTATTTATTCTAGTGAACAGGATCGTGGTTTAACTGTCAAGTCAATAATTTCGTCAGAAAATCCGAAAAAGATATCTAACAATCGCCAACGCAGAAAAATGTTAGAAGTAAAATATCCTTGAAAACAAAAATTAAAACGTTATCAGCATAAAGTAACCCTGAAATTCCCGTCAATTTATCAAACTGTAAATGCAATGTTGTGAACAATTGCTGCTACATGTGCTGTAATTTCGCTATTCGGCGAAGATGGCCGTAACTCAGGCCAAGGATACGTGAAATCAGGTTATCGATCAAAAAAGTTTATCTAGATACCCTTACAAAACCTCCGAATTGTGGTAAGTTTTCTATTTTCTCGCTACACGTTTGCAAAATTGCTATGCAATTGAGATAGAATTGGCTTGCATTCAGATTTAATGAACCATGTTCCATTCAATTTCAAACAACCGAAGTGGTCACGCGAGATTTCGATTACATATAGTTGTAGCTACAAACTCCAGTTACAACAACGTCAAAAGGGAATTGCTCATATTTAACTAAAGTCTTGTTAAATTCGTGTACAAACTTGAATTAAATGCCATTTCCTTAATTATCCTGATTATGATTAAACATGGTATGCCACTGTATATTTTCGCCGAAGGAAATAAATTCACTACCGATGTGAATGTACTTTGCATTTCAAAAATCCTTTAATGACCCAAACGTTTTATAAAAAATTATCTCCTGATATAAATGCTTTAAGGAACTTCACAAAAGCACCTCAAGGTGCTGCCGGTGTTGTTAGAATGTTGTTCCTCAAAATGAAACCAAGCAATTATGCTATGCAATATTGCAGAAGAGAAATTAGAGAAAATTTGTCGCGTTGTAGGAACACTGAGTTGATAAGGGCTAGTGAAAAATTTCTGCTATCGACATTTCGATGAAATCGTGGTTAAAGTTCGATGGTGTTCACTGATATTCACTAAGAATAAAATGATTTCATAATAATGTCAACTATGAATTTCCCGTTTTTCTGAACTAATGTCTATTTTTACTTTGTCAGTTAGATCTCGAAATCATTAGATAAAGCACTCGAGTTTTATTTTCAAGACTTATCGTGGCGGTGATTTAATCTATTATCGCACTTACAATTTAAGGCTGATATTGTTCAATAAGCAACAACAGGAATTAAGGCATTATGGAGCAATCAATATTGCAGAAGAGAAATTAGAAAAAATTTGTCGCGTTGTAGGAAAACTGAGTCGATGTGGGTTAGTAAAAAGTTACTTTTTGAGCCCAAGTTCTACGAAAAAAAGTTGCTATAAGGATTAGTTGTAAAATATTATCAATAACTTACCAATGTATTCTGTTTCTGCATAATCTCTATGGATAGTATATCTCTCTGGAATCTGTATAGTTTGCGAGAGATGCTTCAAGATGAACTTTCATTGATTCAAAACCTGGACCCGCTGGATCAAGTGCTGTTAGTCTCTGAATTTTCGAGTAATCGCTAAACAAATAGTGTAACCGACCATATGCGCTCCAAGAGAGTGTCCGATAAGGTGAACATCGGATGTTTTCATTCCAGCATTTTCTTTGAAACATCTCATATGTAGAAAAAGAATCGTGGCAACAGTCTCAATATTTCGCACAGCTTGCCAATAAATAAAAGCATTTACCCATCAATGTTTTGGAGGACTGCACACAACCACACCAAAGTGCTCTCAATGTGGTATGCTATTTATATATAAATGCGACCAAGCATTGCTTTTTCAATCAGTAAACCGGCCATATCCATGCATCTCAGTGCATGAAATAGAAATTGACTTTTGTCTCATTATTGTCCGAAACGAAAACCTCTATCGTTCTTCAAACATCGTCGCAATAAACATCTGAAGTATCAACTATGCAAACAAAAACATCAACGAATAATCATTATGCTCGAATCAATGAATTAGAATTTGTTTTCAACTCACCAACGGATTTCCTTCAGTCATATGGAATGCCGAAAATTGTTTTACCCTCTTCAAACCTAGCAGCAACAAGGATTGTTACCATTTCTTGAAAAATCTCACTTGCTTTCCTGGCCGTTCCGCAAACCCATCTTCCAATGGAAGAAGGTTTTCAAAAGTATCAGCATATACGCAGTCGATACTATCAGCAACTGTATTGTTGTTTTTAAATACTTTAAAGATCTCAACTCAAAATGAAGTGCAATGCAGTCCCATATGAGCTGTGCCGGAGAGGTAACTATATAATTTACTGAGTTTGAAGCCAATCCTGAATTTTTTGATAATATTACAAAAAATTTGTGTTAAATGAGTCATATAAAATAACGGTGATTTCACTGCAAAAACTCGTTTTTAACTAGAAATATTTACATTGTCTTTCGGAGCTTGCAACTTCGTACATTTTTTATCAATTACCACTCTTGACCACTATTAAGCATAATTGAAAACTTATGTACCCCCAATGATGGTAGTCACACTTTTTTCATCAAAATTCGTTTGATATGAAATTTCAAATGTGTCGCTGAAACATTAACCGGACAAATGCATTGAACAACTATATTAAGTTGTTTTTAAAGAATTATTTTGCGATACTGTGCTTTTTTCAATTTTTTCATAAAAGTTGCCTCTCGCATTATCTGAAAATGTGCTTATACAGGCCATAATAAGGATCGATACGATAAAGCACAAATAGTATAAATTGATCTATTGATATATGATTTGCATCAAACGATAACCTCACTAAGCAACAATAAAAGATTGATTCATTGAACCTTTAAGAAAAGAAAATTTTTCATCAAGAACTATAATTCCAACTCATTATAACAATAGTTGCTGTCAAATTCAGTTCACATTATTTTTAGTAAACTTTTTTCTGCACCATGCTCAACTCTAAATGATCTCTATCATTATCATCATAATCACTGTTATTATTAAATAGCTTTTGTTTAATCTTTCAACTTTATTATTTGACTTTCACTATTACCAGCATTTATCCTTTTTTGATGAATTAAATGCTATTATAAAGGCAACAAATTGAATTTGCCAAATTTGAATAATCTAGTCAAAATTGAAACACTAATTAATAGGCGATTAATTTTTGTGCCAGAAAAGTAAAATGATGAACATTGTCATGAACAGAATGGATTTGATTGTTTGTCATTTTTGAATTTTCTTGGTGAAGACAAAAAAGTCTGAACAAAATGTAAACTAAACGTAAAATTGAATCGAGAGATTGATAAATGTCAGGGTAAACAGAATGCTGTTTTGAATGAAATCAAATTTTTCCAAATAAAATTGTCTTTTACCTTGTAAAAAGGCTTTCTTGACTTTACTTTCCACTGGGAGATTCAATTAATTTTTTACTTTGCAATTCAACTAGAGAGGATAAACACAAAGCCAAGACAGTTAAACTTTTCAATTGTGTCAAGAAAGGGGCAAAAGTATCAAACAAAATAAAGGATAAGTTGAATGTCAACATATTCAGTAGACAAATGGGAATTGATGCAAGGTGAAGTTGTAGTTTCATCAATATTGACACTATTCAATGAACATGTTCAATCATGGACAAAATGTTGCATGTTGAGAGACAAGACAATATTTTGTACTCAAAGGAGTTTCATTTTGAAAAACCATTTTCACGAACATATTTTATTGACTTGAGTTTTAATTTTGCAAATGAAACGAAAAGATTTCAACTTAAACAAATCAAAATTTACTAAAATGATTTATAAATCAATCATCGAAACTTGGACATTAAATTATTTGAGTTCATTTTATGATTACAGTAACTTGAAGTATGGGCACACAATCTCACGTGAACTGATCTAAGTGGTCATCCTCAGTTTTCTAGCAAACACAAACTCATATCCGAGTAAGTTTATGAAATTGTTGGATATTCATTCAAAGATTAACCAGAAAAACGTTTTTATGGAACATGAATTTTTGATCGAAAATTGAATTGAAGGATGTGAAGAGTGTTTTTGACTTGTGCGTTTTCAATCCCGATTTGGTTCTCATCTTTCTGGTCCGAAATGAATGCTACTTTGATCTGAATGATACTCGGATCTAGTCAGATGAAACTTTTGCCTTTGCGACCTGAGTTTGGTTTGAGAGATTTTCCGATAACGAAAATATTGAATAGAACTTGGATGATCCTGACCTTAAAATATATCAAATTTCAGCCATAAGAGCACCTACGGGCCGAGTAACCGAAGAAAGTTAATAGGCAAAGAAATCGTAAAAATTAGCTACAATAGCCTGTGCTTCATTCAACACTCATTCCGAGATCAAGCGTGAAAAGACATTCGAATGATTGAGTCAAATCAACACTATTAAACTAAATCAAATCTGTTTACAATAATCACCATCAAACTAGATAAATTTGTCAATTGAGCAACTCATCCGAATCAAGAACTTTTAGTGCCATCTACATTCATTTTTACAAATGAATAAGAGTAAAAATCTGTAAAGTTTTAGACTCCAATAACTTGGATATTAATGATGTTAGTCTGAATTTTCATTGAACTAACATTTTGAATCAACCTGTACTCGGTCCATTTGATTGTTCACCAAACAATTTTTCAAAATGATTTCATGTTCAACTTATCACTATAATTTCAACGTCATTACTGCATAACAATTGATTTCAATATTTCATTATATCTACAGTTTTACAGCATTCATTTGTTGCAATAAAAAAAAGGTTGAATAACGAGGCCTTTAATTTCAATGAAATAACTCAATACAACAGGAGACCTTGGATAGAGTCTAATGGAAAGGTAAAGATTGGAAAAGAGGTAAAACAAATTGAACCTAATTTTATTATCTTTGAATCAATAAATGCATTTACAGGCTATTTAACCTGCAAGTAAATTGATATCAGTTGATTAGCTTCATTATAAAGGTAAAATAGCCAAGCAACGATTGGAAATTTTCATCATGAACAAATTGATTAAACCGTTTTTTTTTGCTGTTCCATGAAAAATGGAGCCAATTGAAATTTTAAACACAAGCTAATGTGCAAGAGGTTCTGTTGATCAAAGCTTTTAATCACAACAATAATGAAGGTAAAGCTTGCAAGGAAAAATGTTGACTGAAAACATTCAAGTATATCTTGATAGAGCAAAAATACAGCAAAAATATTCAAGATTTACTTTTGAAGGGAAACACGATTATTGGTGAAAGTATTTGAATATTAACAGGTATCAAGAGGGTAAGTTAATTAAATGAAAGTTGTGATGTGCTGACTCTTGTTTAATGCAAGCCTGAGGCTTCATTTGTATCACTATCACCATCATCATCTTATCATGTTTCGTATGATGATTAAGTTTAAGATGAGAAAATGTTTACAAGAATAAAAAGGCGGAGAAGTTGGAAGCTACCGAATAATGAGCCTAACCAAGAGACACATTTTTTCCCTTTCATGGGATCATCAAGACGGTGGTGAAGAGGAGATGATGATCAACATAAACATGAACATCATCATTTCCCTTTGGATTGGCGTTACAAATGATTACCGATATTTGGCTGAACCAACTTATACTTGATCGGACCGCAATTAACATTCTTCCCTCAGATAAATATCAATTTCGTGATTTAGCCCAAGGATAAATTGCTACTGAATTGCATGGATCATTATTATCATCATCATTACTATTATTATTATTATTATGTGCATTTGTTTTGCTACTGTAACCAAATGAAGAAACCTCACCTTTAAAGTAACATAGAGATTTAGGCTTGGCTTGGTTCACTTGAATAAGGTTAGGTTGTAATATTAATCTGACAATGAAACAGTAGCTTCTCTCTGGCATCCATTTATACAACAATATTAAATCATATCTTGAGGCTTTCAACCAATTATCTGGATTCACTATTAAACTATTATGTTTATTATCACTTCTATTATTTTTCAAGCTTCTGGTTTTTTCTCTCTGAATATAATCTCCAATCTTGACCAACAGATGAAACTGATTAAAAATTAAATCATCTTTTGATTGCATCCAAGTCGATTATCGCTGTAAAGTTATTATACAAAATGAGATTCACTTTATTCCCAAACTAATTGACTTGCATTTATTTATGCTTCCATTGGATCTCAACTTGAAATATTAACAGTCAATAGTTTCATCTATATTTATCACATTGAACCATTATGTTTCATGATCAAGATAAAGTTGATGATCATGTTGGTGAATGGCTTGGCTATGGCTAAAGAATGGAAAGGTTAAATTGTCCTTATGATTGAGAGCATTTTGATTGCTGATGGTTCAGCTTTTCAAAACAAAAATGATTACCATTTGATTGAAATACATTTTAATCTATTAAATTGAGATAATTCAAAGTTCAATCAAAAATCATTTCAGCCCAGCCTTTCATTCAACTCAATGCAAGCAATAAACCATTAATCCATTTGATTCTAAAATAATCAACTTTAATTCAAAATAAATTTCATTTATTAATAATAACGATGAAAAGAAAGCAAAAAAGGTAAACTTTTCATTAAAATTTTCAATTTGATTTCCAGGTTTGAAAATTCAATGTTAACCGAGCTTATCCAATTGATTAACCAGATTAAGGTATCAATAGCAAAACTATTTCACTCAAAACGAACACGAAAATTTTCAGAAACTAAAATTTCATTTCACATTGAAAATTAGTCAAAACATTCAATTCATTTTCATGTTGGCAAACTCATCGCTCCGTCTTTTTGATAAAAGACAAAAAGAAACAAATGAAAAGATTGAATTGCGTTACAGTTAAATGTATTCACTGATGTAATTATCATCAATATGCAATTGAATATTCAGCTTTCGCTTTAATTGGATCAAAATTATCTGCAATCTTCTTCCTCTTCATCATCATGCATCATCACATCATCGTCTAGACTCATCATGCAAGGCCAATTTTGTCAAATCCAAATGCGATTCCACATTAAATATGATAATTATAGCAAGCCTGGAGCAATGAAAACCTCTGAACAAATAATTTTACCTTTTATTTGCTGATGATCATTTCATGCTTATTTATCATTTGATCATCATAGCCTATACTGCATCATCCAAAAGAGGTTGAACCATCTTGAATCACTGAGTAAACCATGAAAAGTTGAAATTCTATAGAATAATAAATTCTTATTCACTTTTCTACTTTGCATTTTTTTGCACCAAACTGTTGATTCTGTGACAAAACTTGAAGAGATTTTGAATAATTTACAGAATTTTTTTTCGACCAAAATAATTATTATAACTTTTATTAGAGTAATCAAGTTGTTGGTCGTCTGTTTTCAGGACAAAATCAAGTAATTTGTATCAATTTGTTTATTTGATTAAAATTTTATTGCACGAGAAATGTGATTAACTTGGTCGAGTACAGAGTTTAGGTAAATGTTGATGTTAAAAAAAGTAGTTTAATAACATGTTATTAAGATGGATTAAGAGAAAGGTTAAAAAATGTTGATTATATGATAATAATATTATTACAAAATGATGTTCAAGTTGATTGTTGCTGTTGATTGTCTTGTTGTTGACGATATTTGATTGCCAAAATAGATGCGGCCATTAAGAAAAATTGTAAATTAGCTTCACTATTAAAGGCTCCTTTTTCATCTGTAAGGTTAATTGGTGGAGTTATATTGTTTAAAAGGCCAACACCGGATAACAAATTGTTATTATTATGGTTTAAATTGTCGTTATTATTATCATTACATCCAATTAAAGGTGATGTTGTCGTTGTTGTTACTGTTGTTGTTGGTAGTGAGGAAGCTGAAGATGATAATGATGGTGATGTTGTTGTTGTTGTTGACGATGATGATGACAATGCTGAGGAACCTGTTGATGATAATGAGGATGCTGGTGATGAGGATAAAGGTGAGGATGAAGATGAAAGAGAGGAGGAGGAAGATGAATGGGATGAGGAAAATGATGTTGAAATTGGGATTGAGGCAGGTTGACAGCTTTTAATAGGAACGCCATTCTGTTGATGAGTCTTTAAATGAGCACGTAAATTGCATGCTAAAGCAAATCTTTTGTCACAAATTGTGCAAACATGAGGTTTATCACCTGAAAATGAGTAAATAAATAAGGATTAGTTTCGATTCAATTTCAACATGAATTGCAAATAACTTTTGACTTTTAATACACTTGATGCTCAATCAATAAGTTTATCCCTTTTTGTCTCAATAATACAAAATAACCGCTTATGAAACAAGAAATTTCAGCCTCAAATCAATCTTAACGCTTGTTCTGAGCTCAAAGTATACCTTTGACTACTGCCCGATCCGATTGCGAATCGCATCACGTCGCATCAGCATCAATGCTTGACCTTTCTTGGTTTTAACTTTTCTCACTCTTTTTATAAACATTTTCAATTGAATACAATGTATTCCTTTTGATTCCAAATGTTTCAATAATTTTATCCTTGGCAAACCTTTCGATAAAGCACTCAGACGCACTCTGATCTAAGATCATCACTAATCTTTTGATATGACCTGGTACTATTTTCAGACATTTTAATGAAAGAACCAAAAAACCTTAGCATTCAAATTGAACTTGAAAATTCTTTCTGAATATTCTGAGAACTTGACTAAACAATAAACTGTATGGCGGTTTACAGTCATGAAGAAGCAGAAGCAACTTTCATATGAGCAAAACCAACGTTCAAGATAAAAATCGGCTGACTTTAAGACTCAGAGTTTTCATAACAAAAACCATTTTCAAACGACTAAAAGTTTCATAAGCCAAAAACTTTCAAGCAAAAGAGTCACTTTGATATAAAAACAAACTTTTTTATCATCAATTTGTTACATTTTAAAACATTTTCTTGTTTCATGATGATGCAAAATAACCCGATTAGTTTCAGGTAACAGTTGCAACGTTTTCATAAACTGATAACTTGTGCTTTACAACAGCTTCCCATAAAGTTGTTAAAAATGTAAATACGCAATAAATGTTGATATTGAAATGGTATTGTTAACAAATAATTGCAACGTTTTACCAATTTCAATTAGCAAATAAAATTTACACTCTGTTTAGTTAATTAACTCAATTGAATTGTGTGTTAACATGATGGGTTTGGTTAGAGATGAATATGTTTATATTTCATTTACCACAAAAAAGTGACTGAACAATAACGATTCACCGATTGGTTGCAAGAATCGTGAAGCTTGAAAAGCACTCAACAAAAATCATACATTTCATGTTGAGGTTAAACCAGCCATTAAATTAGCCATCATTATTATCATTATTATAATAACAGCAAAATCTGGTTAAACAAGTATTGAATCAAGTGAAAAAAATGATAATAATAATCATTGAAAACCTATAAGAACTTTATAGAACAATAGAAATTCTGGAGAAGAAAAAAATTCCGATACCGAAAAGACTATCCAGGAAATTATGATTAAGTGAGAAGCAAAAATTTTACCAAAAAAGTGATTACCTTGATTAACTCCAGAAATGAATTGTGATTAAGCATTTAGTCATTTGTGAGTGACTTATCCATCAACTCGGGATAAAGCAACACAAGCAAGTAAGTGTTCAACATTTATCATCATCATCTTCATTTGATTCTTATATTATGCCTGAAGGTCAATTAGAGTAACCACAATTTCAGAAGCTTCTAATTACTATTTCAAGTTAACAACTGGAATACCTTTTTCCAATTATAATGGTTGAACAACAAGAAATGATGAGATTCCCTTTGAATTGAACTTGGCTTATGACCACGACTTAATTGCTGGATAAAGGGTGATACACAATCGTGATCAACTCTAAGTGAATTTAACCCACTTTAACTAGATATCTTTTCTCACTGATCACTTCAACTGCCAATAAGCCCTGAATCCCCAATAGTTAATATGATTAAATATGTTTTACAATCAATATCAATAAAACATCTAATTTTCTTCTCATCAATTTAATCTCAATGATCATCTTCCTTGATGCAAGATGACGGTGATGATGAAGACGGAAAAAAACAAGAAAAATCAACTTTTCTTCTGAACTTCTTCTGTTGAAATGAATCACTTATTATCGTGAGTATTCAACAAATAAACCAACAAAATGGATTCATCATTTTGGGTGATTTTGTTCAATGAGAAATGAAAGAAATGAAGAAAAAAAAATTTTGCTCAAAAAAAATGGTTAAACCTTTTCATCTTGCAAGGTAAAAATATTTTTATCAATTTTATGATTCACCAAATTGATGGATTGATCATGATTTTTTGCTTATTGTTCAACAAGGACATTTTGTAATGAGCACAGTTAATTGATAATTTAATCTGATAACTCGTGTTCACGTGCAGTTGATCTAAATATTTGATTTATATCAAATGATTGAACTTGCCAAAGGTAAAATTGCTTAACATGGAACAAGTGATTTATTCAAGAGTTTGGAATAAATCATGATAATTGCATTTATTAACACAGGTAATGATTAAAGTAGCCAAACCTTGAAAATTGCTATCAGTGTTGAACCATTAAATTGATGCTTTGGTTAACGGGCGAGTTGAGCCTTTACCAGACACTTTACACTGCCAATTGAGATCTTAACGGCAGATCTTGAGTTATTGGCTTTGCCTTTTCTGAATAAATTAGACTCTTTTTTGCATGCTAATTAGACGGTAAAACATGATTTGCTAATTGATTATCAATTCAGTTGAATTATAGTTTCATTTTATAGGAACATTAGGCTTTGAACTTTAAAGATTGAATATTTAATCAGATTAAAGTATTTTTGTCATTCGTTTGATTCGTTTTCCTTTTGAAATTGGTTCAATCATTTGATTTGGTTGTCGGTAAATCATGAAAATAATGAACCATTGTTTTTACCTTTAATCATTATTCATGTAGTTTCAAGTTTTGAATTTTTCTGGTTTAGCTTATTCTTTTCATCCTCTATCTTGTCATCATGGTTTTCATGTTTGCTGTGCTTTTTTTTGTTAATATCTCAACCTCTCATCACCATTTTACTCTGAATGATGTATTATCCAATGGAACAATTCAACAATTGCTAAAATGGCCGAGTATTATTATGATGATGGTGATGAGGATAAAGATAGTTTATGATGGTTAACATGAAGCAAATCTAATGATTAGCCAAGCGGAAAACAAGGTAATACAAAGTTTGACTTGAGTTTATCGTTTCAACAAGTATCCAACATTTTGTTACCGATGGCCAATCAATGGGAGGTCACAACAAACATCAACATCCAGCTGAGGTCATTTTCAAGGTTTCCATCAGTTTTACAATCATACAAAATATGCCTATTCTAATAATCTAACAGAAAATGTTTCATTATCTTTTTTTCAATTCACATGATGGATTACAGTTGTTGGTAACTTAGCTTTTACCATTATCATGCACTGATATCTGTTAATACACTTTGCATTTACAATAAACTGCTCAAGCTATTGTAAAAGATCAAACATCTTTAATAGTTGATTGAACCATCCGTCAACTTTATCAAAACAAAACTCAAGTTGTCTCCTGATTCAAGAGACACTGATCCAATTTTTACCCCAACATTGACCAATATCTACAACCTGTTTAGGCTCATCATCATTGGTTAGACAGGACAGTCAACCTTGTCCTATCGCAGTTGACAAGACAGTTGACAAAGACTAACTTGACAGAAACGTGAATTATTAACGGGAAAAGGCTGGTTCAGTTTGACAAGAATCATACTTTGGTCTAGAAGGGAAGTTGGACAAAAAGTTGGTGCAGAGTCTCATCACTTTGTAAGTCACTTTTAGTCTACCTTAGAGGGACTTACGATAGTTACATTAGCAATGTCTTACTGTTGGCCAACATTAATAACTTTGTTCTGAACATTTAATTCTGTATTGATCTTTCGCTTGATTAACCTGAATCTGAAAATTGTCTGGCAATTTAGTTGAACACTTGTCTTAAAATGATGAAACTTGAAGAATCTCAATTGAACTATTTCTATAGATAATGAATAATCCTTGGATGCAAGTTTGAATAATGTTCATTAAATATTTTTGTTTTGTTTTCTTCAATAACTTTGTTTCTTTTTTGACGTTCAACGAAATCTGGGTTAATCGATAATATATCGACATTATTAACATACATTATAATCAAGTTGAACAAAGGTATTAATGAGTTTAAATTACAGGTTAACTGTAAAAAGGAACATAAATTAAATAACAAAAGAATCATGATTTGATCTAATATTATTTGATTCATTATTAAAGTCAAGTAAAACAAGTTCAATCAACGTGAAACCAGGCTGAATCAACTTTTGTTCAATCTGTTTTCGACTTCATTTTCCATCATCAACTCAATTCAATATTCAAATATTGAGATAAATTTAGATAATTGCATTTAATCTACATAAATAATCAATTTGATTGTCACTAATTAAGAGGATCATAATAGTTTGGTAACAATTTTGTCTCTTTTTTCTCTTCATTATTCAGCTTTTCCATGTTTAAACTGTTGATAAAATTGTTGATCAGCTTGAGCAGTAAATCAATTATTGAATAATAAACTCAACTTGATTAGACTCATATTGAAATTAAGAACTGGTTTAACATGGAAAATGTTTCAAATAATTCATTCTTCCAAATGAACCTCAAACCTGATGCCATTTGCATCTCATCTCTAGGTATCATCATCCTCGGTATCAGCA